TTGGTTGCTTACAATCACTTTCCCTTCTCATCTGCTTTGATTTCTGATTTAAAAGACCAAAAAAGACAGACTCCAAATACTAAGACCCTGGTTACTGTGTCTGCTGACATCTTGGAATCTTTGGAGGAAGCTTCTAATCTTGAGAATTCTGAGATGTTTCCCAGCGTTGCCTACTTATTCCTTTGCTAATGTATTTTTTCCTTTTCAAATTTGAAAATGCTAGTGAGGTTTTCCTTGACTCACCTTTTTCTGGTATTACCTCCAGGATGTACAAGTGGGGTTGAGAATGGCAACAACCCCCTAGGAAATTTTTGGTATTTTGCTCTGCCTTTAAAATATATATATATATTTAGTAAAGTGTTGAATATCTTTACATTTAGTTGCTGTTGGTGGTTGCCTCATTTATTTAAAAAAAGTATAATTTGTAGCTTTGTTGAATATTGGAGAAAATACATTCTGCACTCTGACTTCACTCTGTTCATTTTCCTCAAAATCGTCTCAAATCTTTTTTCAGTTAATTATCAAAGCACAAAATACGTGATTGCATAATGCATTTATAGTTTAAATATTAGAAAGTAGTTTTCTGTGAATACTATTCCTTCTAAAATGACTTTAATGATTGAATGCCTCTATGTGAGGCAGTGGCGAATCATTTCTTGAACCTGACATAAGCTTGTATTTCACTGAACTTCTTATGTGACACTTCACACTATGGACCACTTCTCCTGTGAAACTCTATTTGTTGGCTTCTACTGAACAATTCTGAGTCAATTTTGATCTTTCTTGTTCCTTCTGGTTTCTTCATGAGAAACACTTCCTCTGTTTATACTTTAAGCACCGTGTTTCCCAGAGGTTTCTCCTGGCCCACTGCCCTTTTCAGAAAATATGCACTATTAGCATAATCTTATATATGACATGTGGGAATGAAGAGATCAGTAGGTGTGGGGGAAGTTAGATGCTTAGGTGTGGTCATGTTGAATTTAAGGTACCTGTGACATTTTCAAGGAGAGACTGTACTAAAGGCTTTTAGAGAGATGAGTCAGGATAAAACAAGAAGTCTATGCTAAAAATTTAGAAACAAAAATACTCTAGGAGCCAACCAAACATCAAAGCTTGCCTTCTTATCTACTGTGTATCTTCACTCATTTAATGTCTGAGCTCTAGGACTATACCCCAGCGCCTACTACACAGTCACCTGAAAGATCCCACAACCACACACACAAACTTATCCCAATAGATCCCAAACTTTATTGGTCATTCTTGTCTCTCCGGCCTTCTCTACTTTTTCTGTATTTGTATTCCTCTATTTAGTACATCATATCACCCCCAAGCCCTTTGACCTAAGTTTCTTGGGAACCAACTTAGACTTCCTTCTCTTCATCATTATCTATAATTTGTCAATGATCAAGAAAGATAGATTTTACCTACTGAATATTATCATGTTTAATCCATTCACTCTGTTTTTGTTACAATACTTTGTGGCAAGAAATGGCAAAGCTGACTACAAGTTGTTTAAACATCAAGGACTTTTGTCATTACACATCAAAAAAGATTCTGGAGTCAGGCTGTTTCCAGGGTTAGTTTAGCTGTTGAAACTACTGGAACTCTGGGATAACACTTCTACAAATACTTTGATCTTCTGCTTCAGCAACATAGCAATGTAGCAATAAGCATCACGTTCTCCCTTAACAGTATCCAGAAGCCAAAAGGATAGGGTTCTTTCTTGAATTCCTCTATCTTCTTATCAGGGTGGAAAATCTTTCCTAGGGATACCCTTCCTGCCACTACCATCAGCAGCCTCCCTGCTGGTTCCTTGGTAAGGACTGGGTCTCACAGTCACTCAGGTTCTTTGTCTATCTGGCTTTCTAGGCTTCTACAGTAGAGGCAGGCTCTGCCAGGAAGGAAGCAGAATGGGAAAAATCTCTGTCATTTTCTCCACTTTCTCTCCAAGTTTCTTTGTTCTTGCAGGACTGAAGAGTTTTATGTCTGGCATAGACCAACACATTCTTGAATTATCCCCCTGCTGCCCCTGTCACCAACAGAGTCTACTGGAGTGAGTTTTCCAAAACACACCACAAATATTAAGAAAAATGTTACTTCTTTTAATTTTCTATTTCAACCATTTTCATATTTGATAAAGAATTTTCACATAAGTTAAACCCACATGAAATTATTAGGAAAGAGATATCCAGAAATTCAATCTGCAGTTAAAGATGTCATCTAAAAATTACAAATAAGAAACTACAACTTTTGAGAGTCTGAGGGATGATGGAAAAAGCATAGCTTGGAATAGCACTTCTTTTCCTTGGTCAACAGAAAATGTACAGGTGGGCTGCTCACTCTTGGGACACTGAAGGCGTGACTGCCTCCAAGATTTTTGAACATAAATCTAGTCACTATATTTTACAAACAAATAATGCAGACACCTAATATATTTTCATCATGGGTACATCTGAGGAGCTGCAACCTTACTTTTAATAAAATCATACATTCACAGAGGAATTTGTGCTTTAAAGTAACATGACTTTGATTCTTTTATTTAAAAAAGAATCTCTTGTAATGTAAACAAGCTCAGATTCAAGAAAAACTGCTTTCTGAAATCAAGGAACATCTGGATTATATATTCTTAATAGAAGTTCAATAAAATATAGAAATGTGACAAGCATGCTTTTATGCAAATCAAGAAGCTTGCGAAACAACATGAACATTTTGGTTTGGGAATCTCTTGAAAAAATTACGATAGCCTTGTTTTTGCACTTTTTATGTCATAAAGAGGTCATTTTAAGCATCATACTTTAGAAACTTAAAAATTATTCATATTTTATGTACAGAAACTAAAAATAATGTTAATGGTATAGTTGGAATATTTATGTATAGCTGATAATATTTTGGAGTGAATATACATGACTACAACTGTATATAATATTAATAGGAAGTTTTTTTGGAGGAATAGGATCATAATGTTCACATTGTTCTACATCTTGCTTTTTTCACTTACAATGTCATGACTATAAGATTATATTTTCTACCATATTATAGAATGTGTTAACTTTTTGCAGAAAATTAATCTTTTAGTTGAGCCTAAAGGTTATTATTAAAATTAATATTCTTTCCTAAAGCAACCATACTAATAACTATGCAGGACCAGCAGTGGGAGCAACTCTGTTAGGCTTTTAAAGATATTTTGTAAAGCTGAAGCATATCACTTATGTTACAAATTCATCCAGGATGGAGCAAGTGTGGGCAGTGTAGGAAAAGAAATCAAGAGGCTGTTTCTTCCTCATTCATTGACCAGTGTCTTCCTCTTTCCTCTCAAACTCTTGAGGAAAGGTATTGTCTTTCTGGGTCCACAAGCGGGTGTAGTTTTAAGGGCAAGAACTTGCTAGCGCCATGCCGCCCTTCCATCTCTCTCCATCCGGGAGATTTAACAGTTTATGTTTAAATTTCAGGGGCACGGGAAGAAACTAAGAGTCGGTCACCCCAGCGAAAGTTCTAAGGAACTCCTTTCATTGGCCTGGGATCTTAGAGAAGGTGGGGGTTCCTCCCAGGTTAAAAGTCCCCTTCTTCCACACCCCTCGGACTCCATGTTTGGATCCCCTTCCACGAACACTCCCTTCGTGGAAGCCATCTTTCTCTCTCCTGGATTCCCCCTCTGGAGTCCCCTTCCACACTCTCTCGTGGAAGCCTGTCTTCCCTCCTAAACTCCATCTCTCTCTATTCCCTTCCACTCAGTGTGGAAGCTGCTTTCCTCTCCTGGATTCCATCTTTCTGGATTCTCTCATTCAGTGTGAGTTAGCTGTTTCTTTCTCTCTCCTTCTGTTTCTCTCTCTACATAAATCACTTCCTACAAACACTTTTGAGTCCAGCATTTACTGTACAGTGCACCATGGTCCCCTCTCTCACTCTTAAGAGGGTAGGAAATAAGAACCTGGAGAAATGTCCTCAGGGGAGCTGAGAGCACCCAGAACCCCTGAACCCGAATATTACATTTAGCAAGCCAGTCAGGAGAAGGGTACAGCCAGGAGAGGGGTACACCAGGAAAGGGATACAACCAGAGAAAAAGACTTCAAAACTTTTAGTAAAACTGGCCCCATTCTGTCCTGCCTCTTTAAGAACACCTGAAGCGGCTGCAGCCAGGCAAGGCTGCGAGAATCAGAGCAGCAGCGCAGCCCAGCCAAATTAAAACTGCAGGCCTTTTTTGTTTGTTTTTGTTTTTTACCTCAAAGCTGTCTCTCTGCTTTCCCTCTCCTTCTCTATCCTTCTGACATTATCTCTGGGACCAAAACCTGCAGGAGACTGTAGGACTGCTTGCCAGCCTGGAAGAGTACAGCCGCAGGGGTGGAACCCAGTGCACGCAGAGAAAAGCCGTGGGGAGAGGCGAGGTACAGCCTGAGCCTGCAGGGGACGGGGGCGAGCGGCAGCCTGGCCCATGGTTCTCCAAGGCCTCTCTGGCGTTCTCCAGCCCCAGGCAGCAGGGTAAGAAGGCTCCCTAGGACATTTGCCTGCCAGTCACTGGTCCCTGTGTGGGCAGCAGCCTGGGGAGTGGCCCAACCTTGCACATGGTTCTGGCAGAGTCAACATGGCAACCAAAGGCCGCGGGGCGGGGGAACTCACGGCCGGCCCAGCAGTGGCCGCAAACCAGCAATCAGTTCAGTACCCATTTTACCTGGGGGACGCCCCAGGTCGAAGTGGCAGTAATTTCTTTAACCCGGGTGTGGGCATCACTTGTGTTTGATTTCAGATGGGTGCTTCTATTCCCAAGCCCAAGTCCCCATTAAAATGTATGCTGGAAAAGTGAGACCAATTTAGCGCACAGTCTTTAAGGAGGAAGCGGCTTATTTTTCTCTGCCAAACAGCGTGGCCAAATTACCCTCTCCTGAGTGGAAAATGTAGTCCACAAAGGGAAGAGAAAGCAATCCAGCAGCTTTCCTTGGGCAATTACGGGAGGCCTTAAGCAAAGACCCCACACCCCCCTTCGCCAGACTCCATTGAGGGTCAGTTAATACTAAAGTAAAAGTTTCTTACTCACTCAGCAGCAGACATCAGGCGGAAGCTCCAGAAGCTGGCTTTGGGACCAGAGCAGAGTCTAGAATCATTACTGAACCAGGCAACCTCGGTGTTTTATAATACAGACCAGAAAGAACAGGCTGAAAGGAACAAGAGAGATCAGGCTCAGTCATGGCTTTTGGGCAAGCAGACCCCAGGGGCTCAAACGAGGGAAAGGCTCGGGTTAGCCGCCAGTCTGGCAGAACTTGTTACCAGTGTGGTCTGAAGGGACACTCTGTAAGAAATTGTCCCCAGAGGAATAAACCACCATCTCTTCATGCCCATTGTGCCAAGGGAATCACTGGAAACCACACTGTCCCAAGGGAAGAAGGATCTCAGGGCCTGAGGTGTCTGACCAGATGACCCAATGGCAGGACTGAGGGTGCCTGGAGCAAGTGCCAGCACGAGCCATCACCCTCACAGAGCCACGGCTAAAGCTGACCATAGACGTCCAGGAAGTTAATCTTCTCCTGGACACTGCATGGCCTTCTCAGTGTTTCTCTCCTGCCCTGGAGATTTGGTGCTTCTTAATTCTCTCCCCTCAGACTCTCCCTCTCTAGGTCCATCCTGGGAAGGACTATTTTTGGTCATTCTGTCCACTCCAACCGCAGTTAAGGTAGTGGAAATAGACTCATGGATTCATCACGCTCGGCTGAAGCCTTGGATACTGCCTGAGGAAAGACACAGACCCTCCACTCCTCAGCCTGAAGTTCCAGGAGACAACCCTTCATCTACCTGTGAGCCATTAGAAAATCTACATCTGCTTTTCCAACAAGATCCTCAGGGAAGTAACCACACGTAAGTCTAATTTATATCCTGGCATTAACAGGACTATAACCCTCAACTTTGCTCTCTCTCAAACTCAGTATCGTTTTCATAGTGGGAAGGGAACTTGTCTCTTTCTAGGCAAAATGCTGCTATTTTGTAAACCAGTTAAGTGTTGTTTTGAACATAGAACTCAGGAATCAAACACAGGGCTAAAGACCTTCAAGAACCCGGCTCTGTTCTCTCCTAGGCTCGTTTGTAACCATTCTCTATTTGTTGGCCTCTGGGCCTCTCATCTTTAACCACCTTGTCACATTCGTTTCTTCTAGAACCATAAGTTCACAAATAATCCTGCCGCTGGAACCCCAGATGTCCTTGGCTCATGAACTCTATCCTGGATCTTTAAATCAACCTGCACCCCTGAAAGGCTCCCCTCTTGTGGAAACCTCAACTGCAAGGCCCCTTCTACACCCCATTTCAGCAGGAAGTAGTTAAAGAGAATCAATGGTAATCGCTAAAAAAGTTGGGCTTTCCTGTTCAGAGGGGGGAATGAGGGAAGGTGTTCTCCTTCCTGGTCCACAAGGGGGTGTAGTTTTCAGGGCAAGAACTTGCTAGCGCCATGCCCCCCTCCCATCTTTCTCCATCTGGGAGACTTACGGGTTTATGTTTAAATTTCAGGGGCACGGGAAGAAACTAAAAGTCAGTCACCCCAGCGGAAGTTCTAAGGAACTCCTTTCATTGGCCTGGGATCTTAGAGAAGGTGGGGGTTCCTCCCAGGTTAAAAGTCCCCTTCTTCCACACCCCTCGGACTCCATGTTTGGGTCCCCTTCCACGAAAACTCCCTTCGTGGAAGCCATCTTTCTCTCTCCTGGATTCCCCCTCTGGAGTCCCCTTCCACACTCTCTCGTGGAAGCCTGTCTTCCCTCCTAAACTCCATCTCTCTCTATTCCCTTCCACTCAGCGTGGAAGCTGCTTTCCTTTCCTGGATTCCATCTTTCTGGATTCTCTCATTCAGCGTAAGAGGTAGCTGTTTCTTTCTCTCTCCTTCTTCTGTTTCTCACTCTCTTTAAATAAATCACTTTCTACAAACACTTTTGAGTCCAGCATTTACTGTGCACTGCACCATGGTCCCCTGTCTCGTTCTTGAGAGGGTAGGAAACCAAGAATCTGGAGAAACATCCTCTCAGGGGAGCTGAGGGCAACCTGAACCCCTGAACCCCAATATTACACTCTCAGTTTCAACCTTCCCATCATGGCTTGTTGTGGCTGGGAAAGCTCCACATAGGCACACTAGACTCTCAGACTGACATCTCAAATATGGCTTATGGGTGTTGTTATCCTCTCTGGAGTGTGGCTCAGGGGACAACACCTAAGTAAAGCCATCAGACACATAGCATGGCTCACAGTAAACACCGAATAGTAATTAAACAGATATTAACATTTTTGAGGATGTGCTGGCCATAGGATCTTACGATATGTAAACCTGGGACCTACACCCAAATATTCTAATTTATTAATTTGGGTAGGGAACCAGGCATCAGTGTTTGCTTCTTACATGCCTCCAACATTGAGAACCCGTGATCTCTGTAACAGGATATCCCATGAGCAGCTTTCACTGCATCCTTATTTGGCTGTCAGGCAGTGTTCTTCATGATTCACACACTCCTTTATTTCTCATAACAATCTATGATAGGGTTTATTATCCTCACCATGATGATGAGGAAGCTGAAACACAGAGACAGTAAGTAGCTTGCCCAATGACACATAGCTGGCAAATTGCTGAGTTAGGATTTGAACCCCAAATTGGAGCATTCAGTAAAACAGAATATCCAGTAAGAAGGGAAGAATGCTCAAAGCTTCCTCACATTTTCAGCCATAGGAAGATACATCATAGCAATACCAGAACTTCGAGTCATTATGTTGAATGACCAGTTAATGGGTCAGTAAGGAGATTGAAGGCTAGAGAGAAACAGATGCTGCCACGTATCAAGACCTCATTAGCTTAAGAGACAAAACTTCAGCCTTTACGTGGGTTGTAAGTTAAAGAGTGCTCAGATGACTCTCTGACGTAGCTGCAGTTTCTGAATTTGCAGTCTGCTAAGTACCTAAGTAAGTAAAAGAAAAGCTGCTTATCAGAGTGTTAGACATATGGGTTTGTCTGAAGTGCTTATTATTTTAAATTTCACCAAGTCAACTTCCCTTGGGTTGACTATTGTTTATAGTCACCGCTTTCATTTTTGAATGAAAATTTTAGTTTAGATAGAAAGTCTTTAAGCTTTTAGTACACATCTAGGCTAAGTCTTGACAGTGCTACAAAATTATATAGTTGCCTCAAATTGCTGGTGTTTCCCATAGAATATGTCATATAAGTAATAGATATTTAAATTTTCACAATAGTGACAGAAGAGTCACCATTGAATTCTGATATTTCCCAACAACAGAAATGAGTTTGTGGGGGAAAAAGCCTACTAAACTTTATAGAAGAAGTTAGAAAGGGTAAGTTTTAGGAGATGGTGTCCGTTCAGGACAGGTAAAGCTAAGGGGGAACCTTGAAGAATGAGGGGAGAAGAAACCCCTAAACCTGGAAGACGTCAGCAAGACTGCAAGTGTTAGCAAAAAAGGGGTGTGGCAGGGAAACAGGGTGATACATTTCCTATACTTCAGCAGTTTGTGTGCTTAACCAGTTAGTACTGTTTTGGGTTTTTCGTGACGTGTAATCATTAGAACCTCAGAGATGATTGAGCCTACACTAACTTATCAAAGCTTATTGAATACTTTGTGCGAATCTCTCATTTTTTTATTTGAGAAGTGCTGTAAATTTGGAAGAGTGAAGTGATGAAAACTAAATGAAAACCAAGTCCCTCAGTTATTTTACATTCCTTTATTGATGGTTTAAGCCCCTCAAAATTGTGAGGACTATTATTCAGTCTTCTAAAATTTGACAGTTCTCTCTAGCGTGAATTACTCAAATGCTCGAGTTATTAAGAGTATACCTGTAACCACACTGGACATAGATTTTTCCATATAAGTTGCAGAAATGTTAAATGTCTTCATGAGTCTGTGTAAGCAGAAGTTGGATATTCTGGAAGTTTTAAGCAATTTGTTATTAACATTTCATGTATATTTGGATATTGAATATATTTTACTCAGTATCCTTAAATTACAAATATTTTTGAAGGCTGAATTTCCCAATTTGTATTATTTTCCTAGGAATTATTCCTGTTTTTGAAAGCACAATGCCAATTTGAGAAAATAAAAATCATAAATGGTAGTAAGAATAAAGCTCAAGAATAGAAACAAAATGTAAACTCATTTAAGACAAGGTCATTCGGATGAAGGTTGTCTAAGTACTTTTCCCAACCTCTTTTCCATCCTTTTCCCCTTATGTTGGTGAAGCCTGAAGGATAGACTGAACTATTCTTCTTTTAGGGGAAGCTGAGCAAGACAGGGCCTCAGTCTCTGTGGTGGTGCTGTTTAATACAAGGATAATGTGAACCGCACTGCAGACTATATATGTAATTTTTAATTTTCCAGCTTCCCATATTAAAACAGGTAAAAATAGTTCAGGATCCATGGCTCGTGCCTGTAATTCCAGCACTTTGGGAGGCCGAGGTGTGTGGATTGCCTGAGTTCAGGAGTTCGAGACCATCCTGGGCAACATGGTGAAACCCTGTCTCTACTAAAATACAGAAAATTAGCAGGGTGTGGTGGTGTGCACTTGTAGTCTCAGCTACTGGGGAGTATGAGGCAAGAGAATTACTTGAGCCCAGGAGGCGGAGGTTGCAGTGAGCCAAGATCATGCCACTGCACTCCAGCCTGGGTGACAGAGCGAGACTCCATCTCCAAAAGAAAAAAAAAATAAAAAGGTAAAGATAAAGAACAAAAATTAATTTCAGTAATTTACTCAATTTTTAAATAATTTAAAAAATAATTTAGCTTAATATGTCTAAAATATTTTAACACGTACTCAATATAAAAACACTAAGAAGATATTTTACTTTTTTTTGTACTAGTCCTTTAAAATTTGGTGTGTATTTTACACTTATATGACATCTCATGTCAGTCTATCTATATTTCAGGTGCTTGGTGATCATACACAGCAAATGGCTACCATATTGGTGAGACTTCATGGTATCATTAAGAAAAAAATTATTACCAGTGTAAAAGTTGAAGGCTTGCCTTAGTTCAGGATTTAGGGAAAGATCCTAGATTTCAAGGTGTCTCTGTAAACGCTTGCTGTGTTCAGCCCAGAAGAGCTCCTAGATCTGTTAACTTCGGACCTTCGAAAGAGGACCACAGTAGTATGCGGAAGCATTTCTAGGTCTTGCAGCTAGAAGATGACTAAGATGGCCCTGAGAGTAGAGAGGACTTTTTCAAGTGTCAGCAGAAGGATGACATTTTACCAGTTTATGCTGCTAGTCCACACAAACAGAAACTTTTCTCCTGCATGATCTAGTCAGATTCACTCTCCATGAGAGAGACAAACAACTTGACCCATTGTAACAATGAAAGAAGACACAGCCCTGTATAGTCACATAGAGAGCATAACTAATTTTTCAAGACTAAGTCACCTGATGATGAAGACCAAATTGAAGAACTAGACTAGAAACAGTACTATCAAATTAGAACTAATGAAAAAGATGGAGAGAAATTAAAGAAACAAGTAATGACTCTCAAGGAGATACATTTAGAGTATAAAAAGGATTTTTCAGAGCTGTCATGGTCACCTTTGGCTGCTATGACAAAACACATGACTAGGTGGCTTAAACAACAGGCATTTATGTCTCACAGTTCTGGAGGCTCAGAAGTCCAAGATCAAGGTGTCAGCAGATTTGGTCCTTGGCGAAGGCAGTCTTTCATGTTTGCAGAGAGTTGCCTTCTTTCTGTATCCTCCCATGGTAGAGAGAAGCAGCTCGGGTGTCTGTTTCTTCTCTTACAAGGGCAGTCATCCATCTCATCATGGAGGCTCTAACCTCATGACCTCATCTGAACCTAATTACTTCCCAAAGGCGCTGCCTACTATAGGTCAAGACCAGCTGATCTATTGCCAACTTACAGACTTGAACAGGCGGCTTGTAAGTCAGTAAGATTTTATAGATTAGGCAGCATGTTTACAGCAAAAATATGACTAATACAAAATAATTCAACAATAATTGAGGAAAATTTCCTGAGCTGAAGAAAACTTGAATATTTAAATGGAAAGGATTCATTCAGTTACAAAGAGTGTTAATGAAAACAAACAAACTTACAACTCTACATATCCTTGTGAAATTGAAAGATAAATTGTGAAGGAAAGAGAATCAGTCTGTTATAAACATTCTTTATATATATGTATATATATATATATATATAAATAATATATATATATATATTTTTTTTTTACAGAGAAAAGATCATACATTTTAAAGAAATCAGAGAAAAAGAACTGCTAAACAAAGATTCTTTACCTATCTATTTATCTGTCAGAATAAGAGCAAGTCAAGACATTGGAAAATATACTACTCAGTCACCTATTTAAGTAAAGTTTTTGAGGATGGTTTCCAACTTTTTGTTAATGGAATCAGATTATCCATTTCAAGGGAATGGGAAATGAATAGAAGAGGAAAAGTGGTAACAAATCTTGCAATAATTAAGACTTAGTAGGTGCTTAAAAATTAACTGGGAATTTATTATATAAAGAATTAATTCAACAATAGAGAAACTCCAAAAGGGATAATCTAATAATAGCTTAAAATTAAAATTTATAGACTACCTAAGTAAAATTCTGTGGCAAACAAAAGCACTGTAAAAGCCCCTTTACAGTGGGGGAAATGGGGAGTTGGGGAATAAGAGACTCTAATAGTCTCCTTCAGTGGGAGACTTAAAAGGGAAGGAAGCAGTGACTGAGCAAGCATGACACAGTTATTAAATAATGTTGATACATTAATAAAGAATATTAGAATTACCATTATTAGGCATCACTAGTGAAATCAATAAGCACAATTTAATTTACAGATTACCTGGAGAGGGAGGAAAAGGGGGAAGATAAAGTGAAACTTAAGCCAGCAAAATTTATGAAAAGGGAATAGAAGAAACAACAATAATTTACAATAAATACTAAACATAAACTGAGATTAAAAAAGATCGATCATTCCAATAAATGCAAATGGGCTAAATATCTGGCCATATGCTAACTGCTGGTAAAGAATAGTATCTCTCTTTCTCTCTTTTGTTTAACACTTTTGTTTGGCATAGGATGTAATTTAAAACTTTAAAATTGGAAGTGATAAAAAATGTTATTTTTTGTATTTAGTTATGGAAAATAAAATTTGTATTTTAGATTCTGTTATTACTTTAGATTCTGTTATTTCTTTATTATCTTCTTACTAAGGAGGCCATATATAGTTTTCTTTCTCCAAATGTTCAGTTATTAAACTGGGTGGTGGAGATATATAGCAAAATGACCATTTAAACTTAGTGTTACCCAGATATTAAAAATGTGTTTTTTTCCCCAAAATCCTAACAAAACCTCTCTCTATTTTTATAGTGACTAATTACTAAGCTGCTCCTTTTCTCATCCCATGCAGTGCTGACTGTTTTTGTGTGGATATTATAATGATGTCCTTATATTTTTAACATGTTCATGGCTAATTAGATAAACCACAGGAAAATTATTTACTTTATCCTTGTATTAAGTGAAGAGGTATTCCATTTTTTCCCAAAGGGGCAGAGAGTATAAGGAAGAGGAAGAAGGCTATTTTTTAAAAGAATGTATCTATGAGATATAATTTATTATTTGACTTTACTTACATTAATGAAGTTAGATGTTCAAAATCCAGTCATAATCATTCTGCCAAAAAGACACATGTTCTTTCAGGTTCATTACAGTGTTATTCACAATAGCAAAGACATGAAATCAACCTAGGTGCCCATCAATGGTGAATGGGTAAAGAAAATGTGGTACATGGAATACTATGCAGCCATAAAAAAGAATGAAATCATGTCCTTTGCAGCAATGTGGATGCCACTGGAGGCCATAATCCTAAGCGAATTAACACAGGAAAAGAAAATAAAATACTACATGTTCTCACTTATAAGTGGGAGCTGACCAGTGGGTACTCATGGACCTAATGATGGCAGCAATACACTCTGGGGATTACTAGAATGAGTAGGGAGTAAGGGGAGCAAGGGCACTTGGGTAGTGGGATCATCATACCCCAAACCTTAATATCTTGCAATATATCCAGGTAACAAACATGCACATGTACCCCCAAATCTAAAATAACAGTTGAAATTAGATTTTAAAAGTCCAGTTATAGTTTGTAAATTTCCTCATTATTGAACTTTACAAAACAAATTTCAGTGGAAAAGAAGAGAATTAAGAAGTGACCATTGAGCAGTGGTAAATAGCAATCAGTTTCATATGAGTATCTTCATTTCAGTTCAAATATTATAAGCTTGAGACTAAATCAGTCTTTTTTTTTTTTTTTTTTTTGAAACAGGGTTTTGCTATGTTGCCTAGGCTGGTTTCAAACTTCTGGGCATGAGTAATTCTCCTGCCTCAGCCTCCAGAATAGCTGGGACTACAGGTCTGCACCACCATGCAGGGCCTATCTTCAATCAGTCTTGTCATTTTAGTGCATTTGACTCACACTTCCACTTTTATAATCATTTTTTTTTCTCTACGTCTTATTTTTTTCCCTTAAATCTTAAAGAAAAATTTTTGACAATTTAAAAATAATTGACGTCCAGGTTTATAAACTGCTCATGAGGAAGCATTTTCAAAGGGAGAAGATAAACCAAACTAACTTCTGTCCAGTTGCTCAAAACCATTGTTTCTGGGGTTTCCAAAATCTATTTATTTCTATAATCAAAAAGGGTCAAAATCTACTATCACATTCCCACTTCTCTCTGATTTTCAGAACACAACACCTGAGTCTTTGATTTTTTTTCTCCCTTGCCATTTGCCATACAAAGAATTATACAGCTCAATAAAATGAAAGGCTCAGCACTGTGTGGTTCATCCAAGTGGCTGAAGGGATTCTGAGATAGGTTAATGGTTCTGATTGTTTTCTCCTATTGATTTTTAGGATGATTATATTTTATTTATGGGGGGAAAACTTGGACTTGTATGTGAACTGTCTTGAGAGTAAACTAGGCCTCTTGCAGGTTGAAGAATTTCATGTGAATTTGTAATGGTTTGTGGAAAATATAAAAAGGGGAATATGATGATAAGTAAGTTTCATTTTAAGAAATGATTAAGTCTTCAGACATCCTATCTGGTATATGTGGTTGAATTAGTTTAATTGAACTGACCATTTTAATTTTATTTATTTATTATTATTATTATTTAATTTGAGACAGAGTCTCTCTCACTCAGGCTGGAGTGCAATGGCACAATCTCAGCTCACTGCAACCTCCATCTTCCAGGTTCAAGTGATTCTCCTGCCTCAGTTTCCTGAATAGCTGAGATTACAGATGCCTGCCACCACACCCAGCTAATTTTGTACTATTAGTAGAGATGGGGTTTCACCATGTTAGCCAGGCTGGTCTTCAATTCCTGATCTCAAGTGATCCACCCACCTCGGCCTACCAAAGTGCTGGGATTACAGGTGGGAGCCACTGCACCCAGCCGAACTGACCATTTTTAGCAGCCAACAAAAACAGAAGGTGGTCCTTTTTGTCTCTAGTCCAAAGAATGATCAGAAGAGTTGATCATTCAGGTGGGAGAGGTATGGGAGTGCAAAAAAAAAAAAAAATACTGAATCTTGGGTCAATTCCTTGCTGCTTGACTTCTAAGATTGCTTACAGCCTTTTGAAAGGTTGTGCTGATACCCATGACATTAAGGCAGAATGGCTCCCTTTCTAAAATCCTGACATAAATGCATTTTTCTCTTTGCAGTACTAGCTTGAATTCTTTGGATCTATTTCAAGTGGAGCAGATGACTAATCACCCCCTTCTGCTAGTAGATAATGGGTTGTCTATAAAACCTTGTTTTTGTGTGGTTACCTTATTGTGAAGTTCATGTCTTTTGAGGAATATTCACAACTGAAAGGCAAGGAAAATGTCCACTCCAGGGTATAGTAAAGCTGACAGGGGAAAAAAACTCCAACTAAATGACTTGGCTCTGTTGTTTTTTAGTTTCCTGAGAGAAAGTGGCCTTGACCCCCATGCATTACTGCTTTTGAGATTCTAGCAGCAGATAGTACGAAATGACAGTTGGTGAAGACAACTGAAGGTGTTTATAACATTGCAGGGTTGTGCAGGTGACTTTAAAAACAAAGGATTTGAAAGTGATAAAAAGTGGGGACTGGCAGGAGAGATGGTAATAAAGCCACTAGCTACTTGAGGCAATGTCCCCCCGCCTTTTTTTATTGCATGATTGCAAATTAAAGCAGAAAAAAAAATTAACCCCAGGCAAAAAAGAATATTCAGCCCTTACCTTAGTGGTTTTAGAAAACCTCATAGTCTTTGGTTTTTAGATTAGATATTTTTTTTCTTTTGCCTGCTGGTTGCCATACAAAGAGATATAGCTCAATAAAATGAAAGATCCACAGCACTGTGTTTCATAGCAAGAGCCTGAAGGGATTCTGAGCCAGGTTAATGGATTTGATGGTTTTCCCTTCATTGATTTTTAAGATGATTATATTTTATTTATAGGCAAGAAAATAATAGTTAATCTTAGATTTATTGAAAACTTATTGCAAGGCTGCACGAATTGATAACAATAACAGTACATTTAGGGCAACAAAACTAGACTTGTCTTTAATCCCTTAAGTGCTGATGTGCAGGGAACCTATTGACTTGAAATTAAATGTGCTCTAACCCATGACTGAATCCAGGTGGGGAAGAGTTATATTTTTCTGGCTGCTCTGAAAGATTTCATTACACAAAGCTTTGGTACACCTGAGGTGTTTCTTTTGTAAAAATGATGTGAAAAATCTTAGAGCCAAGAGCTCAGGAATACATGTTGCTCTCTGGAGGTTTTAAGAACTGGTTTCCAAGTCAGCCAGTCATCTGTCAGCTAAAAAGCCTACTGGTCAACCATAATTGTGTCCAGAGGTTTGAATCTTAAACAAGGATGTGTGTGTTCTAAGATGCAGAAAAAGCTCAAAATATTAGTTTATGATAATTCAGAATTCCATTGCCTTAAAATGATTATAATTTGCTTTTGTGTTCTAAATGAGTTCAGGGACCTTTTGTATTTGGAGCAAATGAATCCCTGTTCACCAAACAAGGGCAGTAGGTTTGAATAACTGTCAACACAGTCACATTATAACTATGGCTCTGAAACGCCGGCTAGAGGGTCTCAATATGTAGTGCTCATATGAAATGAAGGGGCCAGAAACATATTTTCCAGCAATTTAGACAAACTTTTCTAGAGAATTGAATGTTTGTGGAGAGATATAAAAGAAAATATTTAAAATGTCCTGTGGAGCCAAGAAGCTTTGAGCATTGCAGTCACCCAAAATCATGTGGCATTGTTTTACAGTATTTTAAAGTTCACTTTTACTAAAAGTGCCATATTAACTTACACTGTAGCTAGCATGGGTGGTTCAAGTGCATTATTACCTGTAAAGCAAATGTTCATTTTTCAATTACGCTATGGTCTTATTTTCCAGAAATCTTGACTTGAATGCTTAGTCACTTTCTGTTAAAGACAGTGCAGAATATAAAATGAACTTCCCACCAGAAGTGTTGGGTATACAAATATTCCCAGCAAGGGCAAACCAACATTCTAATATGAATGCTAGAAATTGTTGACTCTCTGTGTTTTAACCCAGGATGTATCAAAAGGAAGGGGTCAGAGAAACAAAAGAGTTATGCAATGAATGAGGCTTCCTTTTTTACTTGATTATTCTGTATTGAGTTGAATTATCCACATTACTTGAAGCTCTATATTTAAAAGGAAAAGAGAGACTAGAATAAAGATGTTTCCAAAGTTGAACCTCAGGTTCACAAAACTCTGGAAAAAACAGGAGACAGTTTTCCATAGCTGAATGTCAATCAGTAAAGTTTTATATTTGCTTAAGTACATATAGCATTTTCCTGCTAGGAAAATGGAGAAATTCAAGTAAATCTTAAGGCTGGATATAAAGACAAAAACATGAAGATAAGATAGTTGAAAATCCCAGAAGAAATTTAATTGCAGATAAGAGATTTAAAGTGAAACAAGAGATGAACCACATCTTTTACCCAAATAATTTCTGTCCAGAATTTTTGAATACACACACACAATTTCTATATTCTTTATGTTTGACTTCATTTTTCTTGGCCCCATCTTGAATAACTTGTCCAGAAAATTCAAAAAAGCAACATGTTGAATGAGTGAACATTTTGTATGAGTCAAGACCATAAAGAACATGAAGATTCTCTGATGAGAAATCTGTTTACTCAAAAGCTTTGGTTTACTTTTTAGTTTTTATGAAATTACAATAATAATATTCATATTTTATCAAAATGTGTGGTGCCCCTCTGATCAGAAATTCTTATGTAGATATATTAACTTATCTTCATCTTAAATCTACTAAAAATTCTTTCTGATAAATGGAATTATTATAGAAACTGGAAAGATAGGTTGTATTTAGATTTTCTTTTTTCACACAATCATATATAATAAGAAGTCTCCTTTTAAACAAAAAATGTAGACAGTTCTTTCAAATCATTTAACTTTAAAAACTAATAGTATGTCATGTTCTTACTATTTTTGGCCAAATCATATTTCTGTTAAATTTTGCTGTTTCCCATTTTCATTTCCATTTATTTCTGGAGGTGAGATTCAATTGGACCAGAAAAGGACAGGGCATATTGATTAAGGTTCAACTTATGATCTTTAAGTTTTATTTCTGTTGGTCTTCTTTCTTAGCCTTGCCCTGCAAGATTTTCCAATCTGTA